GTTGCGCCATACATACCCCCTGGGGCCGTCCCACATACCCCTGGTTGACAACCCCAGTCTAGTCTACAGAAAAGGGTCTATTGCCATTTCTTCCTTACCAGAATTTTCACTCATTTCCGTCTCCCAATATTTGCTAACTGCACTCACTTCCTGCAAAAACTAAGGTCTATATTCATTGAGATTCCGAGGTTAACTAAATCTCTGGGCTTGATTAATGCTTTGTTTCGGCCAAGAAAAGCATGATAATCTGTACATATCAGGGAAGCTCATTCCCAGCTGCTCTAGTTTACCCCACCATGAATGCAGAGTCCTTAACTAAACCTAAACACAAGGTGGATTGTCCATCCCGCGTCAGGCCCGGGCCCACTCCTCCCCTTCCCCCACTGCCAGCGCCGCATTAGCCCGAGTCCACTTTTTCCCACCCACCCAGCGTTGGGCCCACTCTTCCCCGCGCCCCCCTCCCCCCACATTGGGCCCGCTCCTCCCCCCACTGCCACTGCGTCAGCCCACATTGGCCCTATAGGCAGGCAATACTAGGCAGCCAGCCTTCATACCTATAGTCTGCAGAACAACAATCTCATCAGCACAGAGGCAGAAAGGGATCTTGGACTCATTGTTGACTCCAGGTTGAAAATGAGCCACCAATGCGAGGAAGCTGTCAGTAAGGCTAACTGCACCTGGTCATGCATCCACAGATTCATCACAAGCAGGTCCAGGGAGGTGATCCTCCCTCTCTATGCAGAATTGGTCAGGCCACAGTTGGAGTACTGCATTCAGTTTTAGGCGCCACACTTCAAAAGAGATGTGGCCAGCATTGACAGGGTCCAGAGGACGGCCATTCGCATGATCGGGGGCAGCAAGGCAGGCCCTATGAGGAAAAACTAGAGGGCCTGAACCTATTCAGCCTCCACAAGAGAAGGCTGAGGGGGGATCTGGTGGCCATCTACAAATTCACCAGGGGGGATCAGCAGGGAATAGGAGATGCCCTGTTCCCCTGGGCCCCACATGGGGTAACTCGGAATAATGGCCACAAGTTAATAGAGAGCAGGTTCAGGCTAGACATCAAGAGACATTACTTTATGGTTAGGACAGCTAGGACCTCGAACTAACTTCCAAGGGAAGCGGTGCTCGCTCCTACCTTGGGGGTCTTCAAAAGGAGGCTGGATAGACACCTGACTGGGGTCACATGAACCCAGCATCCATTCCTACCTGGGGCAGGGGGTCGGACTTGACGATCTGTTTAGGCCTCTTCCAACCCTACCTACTATGATACTAACGACAGAAGGGGGGAGGGGATGGCTGAGGCCAGTGCCAGTCACCGCAGCCCCCACCACCCCGTGGCATCCCGACCCTGCTCCCCACCATGCTGTCACCACAACCTCCAAGGAGTAAAGGGGAAGGGGGGCAAGGCCAGCTCTGGTGGCCTCACCACCCCGCCCAGCTCCTTCGTCACCACTGCAGGGAGCAGGGCAGGGGGGGTAAGGCCAGCACTGCTGGCCTCGCCCCCTCCTGTTCCATTCACTCCATTGCCGCTGCCCTCTAGGAAACAGGGCCTGCTCCGTCCCCTGTGTCCCTGCCATCATGGCAATGCTCCGCCATGCTGCCACCTCCTGTTTCAGTCAGCCGATCAGAGCACAAATAAAGCATTATGGACAGACAGACAGATTAAGGCTTTTATAATATTATAACTAGCAAATTGTCCACAAAAAATAACGGGGGGGGGGGGGGGAGCGCGCGTCCGGCGCGCC